ATTAGCTCCGGGTTTCTCTTTGCAATCAGCTAATTCAACTGCTCGTAATTTCCATTTCCTCCTCTCTGATGGAAACTCACCTGGTATCTAGCTATTCCTCATCCCAAAAATTTGTCTGTGCCCAGCTTCCGCAGCCGTTCAGCATTCATACATACCTCATCGTGCCCTACAGGCTACCTCAGTACTCCCCACATTGCTTGTCAGCCTGGACTTTTGGTGAGTGATTGGAAAAGGAGTGTATAGTCACGAAGTCTAGCAGAACATGAACAGGCAGGGCCTTAGAAATGCCTTCACTCTCTGAGATTTGGATAATTAGGAAGTGTGTAGCAGTGCTAACTCTTATCTGGACCCCTTGGGTTGGCATGTGTGTCCAGGAGACCCTGGGAGACCCCGTGATGCTTTGGCTGTGGTCAGTGCATGCTGGGGCCAGGAATGTAATGATAGTTCAGCCACGTCTCTTTCCAGTCCTCATTGGCACCCCGAAGCAAAGAATGTAAAATAACTTGAAAGCTAGAACAAAGAAAATTTTTAAAATATAAAAGCTGGCAATAGTATCTTACCATCTCGTGAACAAATAAGGGCAGTGATGGTTAATATTTGGAAATGTAGTTGCATAAAACAAATATGTGATGTTTTTACATTTTATTTTAATCATCTCAAAGATGTATTGTCTTATGGAGAACTCTCAGAGAAGGGGAAGAGAACATTCCAATGTTGAGAGCAAGCAAGCAATCCTCTTTGCTTTGTCTTCCCTCTTCCTCCCACACTTGCAGCTTGCTACGGAGGTAATTCAGCACAGAAATCTCTGATTAGCTCAATTTTCAATTATGCTTTCCCGTCACCTTTAAACAACCGCTGCTTAACCCATGTTACAGAGAATGAGTTGCAGATTCAGAAACAGATATCTACCCAATTATATTCTTTTATGTATTCCAGATAATGCCAAACAGGTTTTGTATTTACTTACGTAGCCTATTCTCAAGCTATGTGTGCTGTGGGTGTTTTTTTATCTACAGTTGACACCGCAGGGACTCTATTGCAATGTGTGTCTGTGAACAACTCTGTCTAAACATCTTAAATGCTTCTAATGTAAATATAGAAAAACTCCATGTAGCAATTATTAAACTAACACAAATCTCTTACTGATTTTACGGCATTCAAGTGGTAGTTTTTTCTTCATTAAGATAAACAATGGAACTAATTGGAATGGCACAAAAAGATCTGTTAAGTAGAGTATCAGGAGCTCTCCCTGCATGAAGTGATCAGAGGTGGGGCAGGGGTAACACACTCCTGTGTTCAGAAATGTTGCCGTACACTTGAAATTTAGGAAACAAGTGTAATATATGGAGTTTTGGAAGTGTGAAACTTGCAAGAAGAAGAGAAGCTATAGAAGGAGAATCTAAAGAGTGGGGACTGAAGTTGTACAGTGGGAGTATCTTTTTCAAAATGAAATAATAAAGTGAAGAGAGACTATTAGTTTATTTTCTACAGGACAATATAATAATTTATCGTGCAAGGCACTCACCAATGCATAAGAAAATCTTCCTGACCAAGCTTCCAGCAGCTCAGTAGGCAATGAAATGGCTGGGTAGGAGAGGGCAACAGGAGGAGTTCCTCGGGGTGTCTGTTGGAGCAAGGAATGGGATGTAGGGCTGGTTTGAGGGACTGGAAAGAAGAACCTAGCTGGTGTTGATTTCTGATCGTTTGCAGGTTCTGCTATCACTGAGATGTATTTTTTAGGTTTTGCTATGAATGATGTGAATTGTAGTAGCTTTTAGTGTTTATGAGTTATGGACCATACCGTAGTGCTTTGCAAACTGAGCCAGAGTCAGCAATGTTGTGTTTTTCTGAAAAAGGCTGACTTCACCCAGGACTGTGTAAACAGGAACAGAACCCGAAGATCATGGGCTACCTGTGCCACTTGCTTACCATGGGTAAGAGCTCAGCTGAAGTACAGTATCCAGCTTTGGTTGGACTGGTTTGAGAGAGTTAGGAGCTGTGGGAGAGGAAAGCAGAACCTGTGTGTGATGAGGACTGTAGCAAATAAAGAAATTTTGGGAGAGGAGGCATTGCCTATTCTACAGGATTTTAGAGGAAAGTGCATCAACAGTCTTGAAATACATAGAGACACCACTGCCAAAATGGGGCGGGTGATTGGCTTTCACATTCGCCTCATTAGGATGGGAAATGGTAAATCAAATTGCATGAAGGGAGAGCTGCTGCGGTATTACAAGGTTCCAGTCTGTGAGAAGAGGCAAGCACAGAAATGGGTTCAGCACGTAGAGCACACAGGTTTCATTGCTAGAGGTACTCGAGACGGACATTGCCTGGTGTGGTTGAGGCATGGGTGATGCTGTCTGGGTGTGTGAGAGAAAAGCACAGCGTTTTTTAGGACTCCTGTGTTGTTGCTGGTGGATACTGAAGGGTGGTTCAGCTATAGCTTCATTAACACCTGGTAACCACCTGCTGCAGGCAAGGGTTAGCTGTTCTGCAGGTTTCCCTCTCCAACCCCAGAGAACAGAATTTTCCTCTTCCATGTGAAATCTCAGTACCTCGCAGCTCCTTCCCTAGTACTTGTTTTATGACACAGCAAATGATAAGGTGCACTTGTTAAGCTACCACGTGGTGCGGCCGCCCCTCACCTGCGTGTTCCAGCCTGGCGTGCTGTGCTGTAGCAGGCTTCAGCACAGGCTGGCCGTGTGCTTAATTCAGGGACTGGGGCAGTGCAAAGTTCTTTTGTTCCAGTCCTGTGCAACCAGCAGTGATCATCAGCTCATATTTTTTTCCCAGGGTTGCCTGATATTGTCTGGGCGTGCCCGACACCATTTTTTCCCCCTTGATGAATATCCAGAGAATGGTTTAAAACATAGCAGTTACTGTGCTGCAATACAGCATGCAATGCTATGGCAGCAATATATGTGCTGCCATATAGCCTGGAGCCGCCTCGGTGGCTTCTCACCCGAGCACCCAGAGATTGCTCGCTGTTGCTGATGCTGGGTGCCTGTGAAGTCTGGCTAAAGTAACCCCCTGAACTGCTGGGATGCTTTTAGTTTGACCAACACCATCAGCATGCCTGTTGCACCTTTCTGATGCTCTGTAATACCTATGCTTTCTTTTGCTCTGTCTGTCTGTATTTCTGCAGTCCTCACACAGTTAGCACCCTGCCTTTCTTCCCTTCCGCCATCCCCAAATATCCTTTGATACCTTCCTGAGCGTGAGCTGTGTGGTTAGCATTGAGTGTTTCCGTCTGCTCTTACTGATTTTTTTTCAGATTAGGTGATTGGTAATTTTTTCCCTAACTTTCTTAATTTCCTAATAATGCTTTGTTTTTATATTTTAATTGCCTCCATGGGATGTACCGCAGTGCATTTACTGGTGCACAGAATGGGTGGAGTTTACCATTTGTGTTTAGTTTCTGTGTTGTCAAACACTGTCTTTTCATCAGGCATTATCAGTTCAAAATGAAGAACCCGTCCCTTAGGCGAGACTTTTCCTGGGTAGGGAGGGAGGGATGGGGGTGGGCATCCTGATGCCCTTGGGTTCTGCTCAGGTGCATCAGGCTTCCTGAATTAATGGTGCCAGACTTACTGTCATCTGGAACTGATGTTAGACTTACCCCAAATTGTTTGAACAAAGCTCAGGAGAGGAGGTGGCTGTCTCCAGACTCACTGTCTATGCCTTTTATCCAGTTCTGACATAATCTATTGGAAACGAGAGGAATTGTTTCAGAACAAGCATCTCTGACAGCTTGGCAGATTGATAGAGAGGTTTTCCAACTCCATTTCTTTTCCTTTTTATAATAATGCCTTCTGACCACTTGCCAATCGCTCAGGTATCGTTGGTGTCACGACATCAGATGCTGAGATAGCAAGTCCCAGAATTAGTACTGCAGGGAGGAGATTATTTAATTTACTGTGCTCTGCCTTTTGGCTATTTATCCTCTTATAAAATTATGAAGTTTTCTAGTGACATGTGGAAAACATGAAACATGAATTTTATTCAGTCTAGGAAGAGCCCCACCAGGTCAGCTCACATAGCTGAGCTGAGCTGAGACTTGGGCAAGACACGTCATCTAAAATCCTATCCTGCAATGGAGAATGAGGCAAAATTCTCATTGTCTTAGGAAAACACCCCATAGCTTCAAAAATGAATGGTAATAGTTCTGTGGTTTAAGAAATCCCAGACATTGCCCTGGAAAGCTACCGCAGTGCTAATGCAAAAAGAAAACTATTTTTTTTTTCTTGTTTACATAAACCAGAGCAACCTGGTCTAGCGGAAGGTGTCCTTGCCTGTGGCAGGTATTTGGGATTATATCATCTTTATAAGGTCCTTTCCAATCCACACTATTCTGAGATTCCGTGAGACATAAAGATGACATCATTTAAGTAGTGCTTGGGATTGTCTGCTCAATGAGGAACATTCCCCAGAAGAGCAGTGTCCAGCATGGCTTACTTACCAGCCACAGACTGTCACTTAAAATGAAATCAAATGAGGAAATATATTGATAATGACACATTGAAGAATTTTACCAAATCTAGTCATTTTTAAAATTTTCTTTTTCTTCATTCAGAAAAAAAAAATAAATAAAATTAAAAGATTTCCTAGAGAATGCCCTTTAAATATGAGTATTTCTATTCAAAAATGAGCAACTGGCTGGCAAGGTTCTTCCTCTCACACCTGTCTATTTATCTTCAGTTCTGATCCTGTGAACACTGAAACTGAGCTTAAATTCTGGTAACATTCCGTGCCACATACATGTAAGTATTATGCACAGAGGTGAAATTTTGTAGATTTACTCCCTTGCTGTTTTAATGGCTTACCTGATGAGGTGACTGAGGTGAACATAAATTAGAGGCCCAAATTGTTTGTACTCAGAATAAGGCACAGTGAACTAGGTTATTTATGTCATTCTTGCAGCCATTCCTCTTTCACCACATGTGCCATTTTCATGCAAGACCTTTGATTTTTTACAAATACCTGCGTTCTGTCCCCAGGTCCTGATGCGGAGGTGCAGGTGTGCAGGGCAGTGGAGCTGCACCCGGCGGGCTGCGGTGCGGAGCGCGCTGGATGGGGGCATGGGAGCGCTGCTCAGCATCCTGCTGAAAAGAGACACGCAGCAGCAGCTTTGTGGGAGGGCAGCAAGCCAGAAGAAGACATCGTGGTGAGAAATGTCGTTACGTTTAGGTGTATTTCCAAAGGAGAGGTGGCCGGAAACAATTTTAAAAATATTTATGCTCAGTCCGTGCAATTGTGGTGATATATCTCCACCTGAGTTTAAGAACGCTGTGTTAGTATTTCAGCTGGCAGTTTACAAGTAAAAAAGAGTACAAATGGAAAATGTACAATCTGAGTCACTGGGCTGATAACTGTGGCTGCTGAGACAGTACCGGGCTGACCTACATTATCTGTGTCAGTTATAGTACTTTCCTCCCTCTGAGGCTGCGTTAGGTTTCAGTCCTTGTTTCCCACCCACATGCCCAATCACACCCTGTTTTTTGTAAAGTCACTTTCAGGTGTCTGCCTAGTAGGATTTTAGCAGTATTTATTATTCTCTTTCCTAGGTTTCTCCAGATGTTTAGCTACAGGGTAGTATTACTGAATAGATTAGTGCAGCTGGTTAGGAGACGCTGTGCTAAATAAGTAGAGCATCTGTGGTTTGTCTAGGGAGGTTGAATTTCAATTAATTAAATGTGCACCTAACCTGCAAAGATCTTTTGCATTTCAGTTAAACTGACTTCAGAGCAGACCTACGATTTATTCTTGCCTTTTAAATTAACTGCTAGATCCTTAGCTGATATAAATTGTTGAGCCTCTCTTGACATCAGTAGAGCTCAGTTTACACCAAATAGGGATATGGATCATGACAGAAATAGGTTTTGTATGATCCCAAGTAGTATGTGGATGCTGTAGTAGTTTAACAGAAATAAAATGTCCATTTACTTGAGAAGCTGAAAAATGTTATTTTTTATATATAGTTTCTTAGTATTTTCCCTAGGACCATAATAAACTATATCTTTGTGACTGCAAGAGATTAACATGTTTTTAGTTTCTTGTTTGTTTTTAACTAGATTTAAAAAAAAAAAAACAACAAAAAAACAACTTTTATTTATTAGAGTCATAGAGGAAGTCAGTAATATTTTTCTCGTAAGATGATGTTGGCACAATTATTAATCAGAATCATAGCTACAGTCTGCACCACTTAAGGTTATATCATGATGTTTAGATGAATTCCTGCCTTACTACCTGTTAAGTCTTTCATCTTTATTCAAATATTTGGAAAATAGATTTTTATGAAAAGGCATTCTAATACTGAAAGATTTCCAAACCTTTCCCAGAATTTCTCCAGTAAATTAAATTACCTGATACATAAACGCTATATATTAAATAATGTGGAAAGTTTAGAAATAGACTTGTGTTGCCGTTTTTCTCAAATGCATGAAATGCTTTCAATATAAGTCATGTTGTAATACCAGATTGGCTAACCCTATCCCTTCTTCACCTTTTTGTGACCTTACACAAATTGTCAGTCCTGGATGTAGCAGGGGCTGATTACCTGTATGTGAAAACATTTAAAATCGCTTTTCCTCTGACCGTTTCCAAATCCATCCATCGGGCATTGCTCTCCATTCGGTAAGGTTACAGGTGTGCTGGGTACTTAGCACTCGGTTCCCTTGACATCCTGAAGTTACCAAGACAACTAACTTGCCCTTTAAGCCATGGGAGAAACCTGCACACCAATTTATAAGAGGGTGCACTATTTCTCAAAATTTTTGCACAGTTGTCTTTCCTATGGTCTCCGGCATTGCACATCTCTAGCCCCTGAGCTGATCCGTTCTGCAAATGCAAGCATCTTCTTCCTCCCCCTGCCCTTCTGCAGCCGCAGCAGGAATGTGAAAACACTTTTCCCCTCAAAAGGCTAACCAGCCCTTTTCAGATTCTTTTAAATAGGTATCAATACCTGGCTTTTACAAACAAGAGAAATTAAACTTTGTAGCATTTTGCTATTTGAATGACCTACTCAGTGGAATTACAGCAGCAAACTAATCCTTTAGGAGAGATGGCTCTATCAATCTTTGGATTTTTCTAATGTGGAAGCTACTCAATTGCATCTCAGAAATCAGGGAGGTAATTACTCATGCAGACAGCACAAAATGAAAAAAAAAAATGCAAGTTCTGCTGAGTATCCCTTTTAGAACAAGCAGTGGAACAAGGAAAACAGCCTCTATAATCAGTCAAATTCTTCCACTAATTTTTCAGGTGTTGAAGGCTATAGTGAGGATACATGCTATGAAAGTTAACAAAGCAAAGTGGCTTTAATAGAGGGTTTTACAAGAGAAAAATGCCTCTTATTAGGCAAACATACTATTTTAGAGCTAGTTCTCTATGTTACAACTTCATTGTTTAAAATAAACATGTTCTGAGATAAATATATTTACAGATCTCTTCTGAGGCATTTTGCAACAGTGACAACGTTCAACTGTCCAGTGACCACTGCACTGATCCTGCCTGATGGGTGTCACCGACCGCCTGGTGAAGGCGGGAGATAGAGCATTAGGGGAGAGCTCATGCCCTGTTATTGCTGATAAATGATGGTGTATTTAATTTTAAATTCATGCTACTATATTGATACAAGGTAAAGAAAGAGCATACAAAAATATAAAAACATAAATAATAGGGGAAACAACTGAAATGAGAGAGTGTTACTGTACATCTTAGATTGCTTTGAATCCTATTTAGATTATTAGCCTCAAATATTTTTACCAGGATTGGATATATTTTCCTGCAGGAGAGGTTCTGATAGCGAAGCGGATGGCTCTATCTAGTAAATAAGGAGCTTCCAATCCAGGGAAGCATTTCAGTGAAACATCTAACCTGAATATCTATAAAGTTGGTGTTCAGGTAGGCATGGACCAACTTCTCCAGCATGACTCCAACACGGCAATGCAGTCTTGAGATTTTTCTTCTTTCAATCTAACGTGACTTCAGGCTAACTGCAGCCATGCTTTCATCTAGTTAGACCAGCCTGAGAGCATGACTGGTAGTTCTGTTATACTGGTGTGTACTTTTCCATGGTATACTGTATTTCGTGATTGTTGGTGCAGGAGATACTGACAGTTAATTGGAGATGTCAGTGCTCACTTCTTTAGATAATAAGACATTTATTTTCTTATCCTATTATTTTTTTAAAAAAATATATTCTGTATTGTCCTAAAAACTGAAAACCTGTCACTGAAAAAAACAAACAGATAACACTGTTTGAAGGGCCACCAGGAATGATCACAGTCACGTGAGATGGACGCACAACACAGATGTGGTATCTCTGGAAGTATATAATAAGGTTTCACTTTTCAAATAAGCATTCATGGGATTTTAATTTAGGCTGGTTTTGAATATCTCCAAGAACGGAGGCTCCACAGCCTCTCTGGGCAAACCAGTGTTTGACCACTCTCATAATAAAAAGTTTTTGTTAGGTTTAATGGAATTTCCTTTATTTTAATTTGTTCCCGTTGCTTCTCACTCTCTCTTGTTATTCAGAGCCTCGATCCATCTCCTTCATTCCCTCCCATCAGGTATTTATATACATTGATCAGATTCCCCTGAGCCTTCTCTGCCCTAGGCTAAGAGTCCCAGCCTCTCTCAGCCTTTCCTGTAGGAAGATGCTACTCATCATCCACACAGCTCTCCAGTGTGTCAATGCCTCCTCCTCATGTGTTTCTGCAAATCTGCCTCTCCTTCAGGCACCCCCATCATCCAGGTCGTTAATGAAGATGTTAAATAGCATTGGCCCCGGTACTGACCCTGAGGTACTCTGCTAGTGGTTGGCCTCCAGCAACATTTTTACTGGTCTTCATTTTGGTGTCGATGTAAACACATAAGGACAACAATCAGGAGACTGTTCAAAAATACTCAACTCTCAGTCTACTTTCCCTGACTTGTAAAGTGTAAAACATGCTTTTAATGTAAGCCGTGTACCTTTAAACATCAGTAAAAGATTAAGCAAATACTTTGGGGAGCGTAAAACCAGCAGTGACTGACATGTACTGTTGTTGATATCAGTGTGGGCCTGTTGACATATGCAAGGGCCTTTTTAAAAAATTCATGAAGTGAGAAGTCTTACTTTTTGTTTCAATTTTGAGACTCCTGAGGAAACAGGAAGGTAGCAGGGCTGCAATCAAATGCGCTGTCAGTTAGATTAGAAATCAAAGGGATGCTTTTGAATGAATGTGAGGGCCCAGAGGGTCTCAGTCACTTTATGCCAGCTGCTAGAGCAGGGGTGAAAGTCTGCTCGGTGCCTAACCTGAGAATTCCTTCTGTGCTTTGCCTGTGTTTCAGGAACCCAGCTTGTTAGCTCACATGTGGCTCCTAATTTGAAATAATGATATTTGCAAGATATTGATTGAGCATAAATAAAGAACATGAAGTCCCAAAGTTCTTAAAGCTTTCTTCATTACAGTAAAGTTATAGTAATTTATGCCCATCCAAATCTAGCTCTCAAAGGTAGTGAAAGCATATATGAATTTCATGTCTTTTTTTTTTTAAAAAAAAAAAAGAAAAAAAAAAGTAGAAGCAGTGTAGAAGTATGCTCTCTTCTCTGCATGCTGCTTGGGACACGAGTGTTGATGTACCGTTTCACTAAACCTCCAAATTGTCAGATAGGAGATTCAAAGCATTCATTCTGGGGCCAGAACCACGAAGGGGTTCCCTGGCTGTGCCCTGGAGTACTGTCCCCTTGTTTCAGTCAATGTCAGTGTTCATGTCTGGTACCCACCAAGACAGCTGGGTTTTTGGCTTGTTTTGTGGGTTATTTTTGATAATGGTGCTTGACTCAGCCCAATCTAGCCCATGCCCACCAGGGACGCGGCAGGAACTGTGGAGCAAGGTGCCTCCTGAGACCAGTGCCATCTCTCCAGGCTGTCTGAAACAAGGGGACAGTACTCCTGGTCTGGGCAGCAGCATTCGGTCTGCCCAAACCTCCCATGTTTTCTGCTGACAGTGAAATAACTCCTGGCTTCTGTCCTAAACTGGTAACAGCGCTGTGCGTGTTGCAGTTATCCATTTCTGTCACCCAACTCGTGGAACGGTTCAAGGCTTAATTATTTAGTATCTGCAAAGCACCTTGAGATCTGCAGATGAAAGACTCCACAGAAGTGCGAAGTATTATTTTTATTGTAGGTTTCACAGACAGAAGTGGGTGCGTGCTTGACCTGATAACGTTAAAAGCCTGGTGGGCTTGCCAAGCTTTAATATGATCTGTTAAGGCAGTATTAGTGGGGTGTCTGGGTCTGAACAGCCACAATTCTAACGAGAAATAATTCACATTCCCTCGCTGTTATAGGCAAAACTCCTTGTGCAATGCAATTACCACTGGGATTTATGAAAGGAGAAGGTATTTTTCACTGTTTTTTTTTTTTTTTCTTCTTTTTTTTTTTTCCCCACATCATTTTTATCCATTCATAGCATCCTTTTAAATATTCAGACTGAGCGGACATTTGCTAACACTTGCTATAAGAAATGGGGGTTTATTTTTAAAATGTCTTAAGGAAATATAATTTTTCTCAAGTTTTGTCCAATGTTTGCCAAATTTGATGGAAATATTTCTTCTTCAGTATTTATAGATGTTATATTTGTGCATAATTGATACAACTTATGTCTGCATGTTAGCAAAATAATTGCATAGTTTTATATAATTATCTATATATCTAATTAAAAAAAAAAGATTAGCAAAAAACATTACCAGGGAAGATAGATCACCTCTCAACATGCATACATTTATAGATATGCAGCCACGCTCATTTATATGTATATATGTGTATGTGTGTGCATGTGCTCTAATGATATCTGTTTGGGGTATAAATAAAACCTTGTAATTTGTACTAGCTCATCCTGCATAAAATCACACATCCTCCTCAAAAGCCATTGCATTAATTGCTAGAACAAGAACAGAAAAAAGCATAAATAATCTTTCAAGTGTATCATTTTCTAAAAGTCAGAATCTACAAGATAGCTTACCGTTGCTATCATGAGCATAATGGAAGTATTCATAAAGGTAAGAAGCTCCCTGTTTCAGGACTGAAATCTTGCTCCTTTTTGCAGGGGTGGGAGATTCATGTTTTCATTATAATGATCTATAGTATATTTAAGGGTCTAGTCATATTTAAAAGTGCTGCTTACTTAAAAAAAAAATACATATTTGACACCAGAATTATTTTAGATTGTAAAATAAAGCAAATACATTTAGTGCAGCACATTCTGCAGAAGCAGCTTTTAGGGGGAAAAGAAAAAAGCAAAAACAAATTGCGTGCACAAAATCCACTGCATAGATCATGTTCTTGTAAGAGCATTTAAAAATTATAATCAGATTGAAAATGCTGGATAGAGCTAAATTAATCTATAATCATGTGTTTAATTACAATCTCAATACATGTCGGAACGATATCCCAGAAAACAACGCTAACCAAAATAAATAAAGCATGCCCAGATAAGTTCAAAGTCATGTGTTACTGCCACACTTAATTCCTCACACTCACAGCAGGTTACTGCACTGCTCATCTCCATACCGGAGTAAACCTTGTTCTGTGTTCTTTAAGCACACAAAACTTAAAATATTGATTTACTTCTTATTTTTAAGTATGTAACAGGAACTTCTTGGGCTAAACTAGTGACAGAGTCCCTTCCACAGTCAATGGAGCTCAACGCTACCCCAAAATGCCTTGAGATGAGTGTAAGCATGACTCTGGACACCTGGTTGCTGGTGCCTGAGCCGGGCAGAGCCAGGCTGTTGGTGCAGGGACTGCTGAGCCCTGCGCTGCAGGACGCGCTGCCCTTGCCATGGCTTCTCCTGCGCCTTGGAGGCTGAGTGAGAGCCGTGTCTGCCAGGGCTCTCCGGCTTCATCAGGCCTCCAAGCAACTCTTCTGGGCCAGCTACGTCCCACCACTTGCTTTGTGTAAGCACTCGAAGCAGTCTAACATCCTTCTGTGAGCAGCCGAATCATGTTACTGCATGGCAAACTGTATCGATGAATATTTCCTACTCGGTTAATTTGCAGAAAAGGAGATCCAAGTGGCCTGTCATCGGTCTCGCAGGGATTTAGCAACCGTAGATTTCAGCTGTTACTACCAATTTATATTTACTTTTTGTACCTTTTTTACTTTTTCTTCCACTTAGGTGACACACCGCGGGACTCTTCATGCGAGCCAATGATGTCTTTCCAGTTGCTTCTCCCCTAAAGAAAAGTTTGTATTTATGACTATGCCTCCCTCCCCCCTCTGCCCTTTAGCCGATGTCAATCCATTTTATGTTACATTTATGTCTATTCCGCTTCCTTTCTTTCTTTAGACCTCAATCTCTGTACAAAGACCTTAATCTCTGATGTGGAACTTCGTCAAATGCTGTCTGGAAGTCTGAAGGCAGGCTGCCCACCGCGGGAAGTCACAAGTCCTCCTCCAAAAGCAGAGGTACAGCTGGGCTGGGGAAATACTGCAGGCTTGCTTTCGCAAAGGTTTCCAGGCAAAGCCAGGCTGCATCAAGCAAGCTCCAGTGTATGCTCACAAACACACCTGCTCTGTGCATTATTTCCCATTAATGCACATCACCTTCCACCCAATGCAATTTCTTCTGCTGTGAGACAGTTGTGAACAAAATAGCTCAGCTAAAATTGATTGTAGAAGGGACTTTGGCCCCTGTATTTGACCACATATAGAAGAGCTGGCCGTGATCTTGCCTTAAATATGAAACAGAAAAGAACAACAACTTATTCCTTCTCCACATGGTCTTTTTTTTTTTTTTTTTCCAAACAAGCTGTTGCTAAATCATCAAATCTATCAAAAATGCAAGTTGATTTCAGCATTACCAGACCCACATTGTTTTGTGGGACAGTTTTGTTTTATGAATGCTGTTTACCTAGTCCAGCTTTCTCTTCTTTCCCTAAGGTTTTCCAAGGGAACACAGAGATAGAAATTTTATACAAAATGGAACTGTTGGACAGGAGGTTTTCAAGTGGATCACCCAATTTGCAGGTGAGTTTAGTTCATGATGTGCAGTGCTGTTAAGGACATACCAACTGTTATTTTTCTTAAAGTGTGTTTGTAAGGAAAAGTTAAATTGATGGCAGGAAAAGTGTTTTTTTGTTGTTTGTTTTGTTTTGTTTTGTTTGTTTTGTTTTTTGTTTTAATATCAGATTTAATTTGTTTAGGACATAAATGCTATCAAGTTTGTGCAGAGAAGCACTTGATGTCTATAGCGTACTGTTAGTTTTGTCCCTGCCAAACATTGGAAAGTCTCTTAATCTTTGTGTGGATCAGCGTTTATAAAACAAACAATTCTTATCAGTTGGTGCGAGCAAGAGATTTTATAGTCTTTGCATAGGAGATGTCTTGGAAGTACCAAGAACTTTGGTGCCTGCGGTTTCTTGCTAACAATTCCCCTTTTCTGTCTCACCCATGATTTTTTTTTAAATATTTCTCCTAAACAATAAGCAAAACAATATCACAAATCACAAAAATGCAATAAACAAACCCATTTATAGGCCTCCACTTCATCACACCCTGCTTTCCTTCCCACATGCCTGGCTAAACAAAGAAAAAAATGAGAAGCTGCTTTCCCAAAGCGGGACAACAAAAACAGAACCCACTGAAAGTGAGGCAATGTGGTGCATTTTCATTACTCTTCAGCTACTCGTTCCGTACATTTCCATAGTTTTTCATCCACACCTACATGAACTTGCTTACTCTGTTGTGAAATGCCCCTCTCTCCAGCTGAAGCCTTGCCGATCGTCAGGGTATTGATTCAGCCCACGAAAATATGTTGCATGTTGCAAGTGGAATTTGCCCTATGGCCCTCAGCTCCCCCTCTCCTGTGACCAACAGTATTGTTTTCTCCTGTTTTCCCTTCTGCTGGTGAAAGCTGCTTTTAGCTCGCTGCAGACACTTGGTTCTGAGCCAGTGACGAGTTTCCTTCACGCCTCCGTCTTCTGTGGAGCCAGAGAAAAAGCAAGGCATACCATTTTCCTCTGCAGATGGACACAACCACTTCTTCCCAAATCCCCTCCCAGCTCACCCAGACGTTGTCTCTGCTTTTCCGTGAGCATCAGAGAGCTACTGGAGTGGGTGTGCAGCATGCTGGGGCTCAGCTTCCTCAGCCCCAGCACCACTTTTGTCCCCCCAGCACCACTCCTGAGCAGCAGGGCTGCCCCTTACTGCAGACCGAAAGCAGGGGAGCCGGGCAGATCCAGTGAGTTGCCTTAGCTGGGAGCTGAGCACTACACCAATGCCCTCAGCCTCTTCCTCTGTTGTTGAGAGATGTGGCTGAGGTGGTCGCACTTAAAACAGCATCGTTTTACCTCTTTTTGTAACACACAGCCAAAGAAGCACTTTGTGCTGTCAATTTAGGAAAAACTAGAGGCAATGCCTGCTTCCATGCCTGCTGCAGAGGGTTATCATCAGATGTTGTGGTGGGATTTAGAAAAAGGCTCAGACAGTTTTAGGGCCTCTAATAACACTTGCAGTTACACAAAGTAAGGTAACAATAATGGTAATTAAGTCTCATGCCTCTGACGTTCAGCATCCCCCCTCCCCGTGTCCCTTGCAAACACTCGAGGACGATTGGCACAGCACATTCCCATTCTGAAGTCCCGTGGTTTTGCACAGTCATGTGCTGCAAGGAGCACATCACAATCCTTCTGTAAAATCAGGCTGTGGTGCTCTGAAAAACCTCACCAATGTGTTGAAAAGGAAAACCTCTTAAAAGGTTCCTCTCATCACGAGGAAGAAGTTCTTCCCATGGGATGCTGCTTTATCAGTACTGTGCAGGCATGTAAGAGGAGGTTGGGAAGGAGGAGTAGAGAGAGTTAGAAAAGGGCTCCAGAGAACAGGAGAGACCATGCTGGGTGCAGACGAAGGCCGTGCTCCATTTGGAGCCTGGTGCCAGGACAGGGGACCCGTCCCCTCCTGCATGGGGGCTGGGTGCTGCGGTCACACACCCGCCGTGCCCGAGGCGCTGCTCAGCCCGCAGCTCGCCTGCACCGGGTGGCAGAAACCTGGCTGCTGGAGGGGCCCTGCTGCTTGTGGGCAGGTGGGAGAGCCTGCACTGCTCCTCTGCACCTTCCTCTGGGGTTGGATGATGGCAGAAGTGGAAAAAGTGGTTTCCAAGCAAGATGAAGATGCAGGCTTTCATCAGGACAGCTCTTTTCTCCTTTCATTATTAGCCAGTCATCACTCTTTGGGTGATGATCTCTTTTGTTGTGAGCTGTGTTAATATAGCCAAGTTAACCCTGATTTTTGCATTACCTTAAGTAAACTGGATTTTTTTTTATTTTTTTTTTTTCAGCTGAAAGTTTAAATCTTGATATATTTCTACCTGTAATTCTGGTGTTGTGTCATTCCTAATAATAAAAAGATTAGTAGATATGTTCGTTGATATTCTGCATAAGAAATGAATGGGATTTCTTTTGCTTATTTTTGGAAGCTGTTGCTACTATTGCCAATTCATCCAGCACAATGCTGCTATTTTAGACATACTTGCAGAAACCATTAGTTTGTAGGCACCGTTTTCTCTATTTAGCATATATACATGCACAAAAACTGTGGCTATAAGGAGATGAAAATTTGTTGGATTTCAGAAAACTTTAAATCTGATCCTATTAAAAATTATTCTTAAAGAATTGTGTGAATAGTGTATGAAAATTAATCATAATATCAGAAAGCAGCAACAGGTGAAAAATTAAAAAATAAATAAATAAAATTGGCATGCTATAATTTCATGTGCCAATATTGCTCAGTTCATATTTAATTCAAATAGAGCCTAAGCCCGTTCCTTCCTTCTGTTATATTGTTTTATTAGAGAAGATGCTAGCCTGTATTAGCCACTTATTAGATAAATACAGGAAAACTGCTTGTCATTTATGGGTTTATCCATTATCATCTCGAACATCGGATAGAGTAGCCTGATTTCAAAGTGACAGCTGGTGGAACCTCTTCTTGATACATGCTAATCCAGTTTTTATTATGGAAAAATTGCCTGTGCTTTCAGACAGTGAAAGGCAGTTACGAGACATAGCTGCTGAGGGTGGAACCTTATGATCTCTGCTATAACAACCTAAAAATGAACCATTATCTGCCAGGGTAATAGCATCCTGATAAAATATGGACATCAGATAATTTATGGTGTGAGCACGTCAAAATGTACAGTTACTCTTACGGTCTCTTTCATGCGGTAAATAAAAAATAGCTCGTTCTCCAGTGACTCCAATTCACGTGATTAATGATTTTGTGGGAGTGGACGGAGGTGCACGTGCCTTTGGCTGCATGTGAAGATCAATCGGTGATGTGAAGATGCCTCTCGGCTCTGGGCCCCCCTCAGCTCTTTGCCCTGGGTGGGAGGAAGCACTTGAGGTGGGTAATGTGTGCCCCCCAGCGTGGGGAGGACGAGGGTGATGGCTGGTGCCCAGGGGTGCTGCTGATGGGGCACAGGTTCCCACACAGTCACCTCGGGCAGCTTAGTCCAGAGAGCTCCTAAAGTCAGGAACAGTCTAAAGGGCCCAGGTAAATCTCCCAGCAATGTCAGGGGAGACATCTGAACCTGGTCTGGAAGGAGGTTGAGGGGCTGAGCTTCAAAATCAGAAATATTTGAGACAGTGAGTTGCCAAAAATATTGGGCGGCTTCCCCTTTCCAAAATCCCAACCAAGACAGTGTAAATGCTGCTTGTGGAGAGCGAGGAGCAGCTCGCTGGGGTCTGAACTCCTGGCTGACAGATGGGAAGATCAGCTGGCTACTTCATTGTTCCCCAATTATTAATTTATCACTAAACATATTAAAACAGCCACTAGATAACAAAATATCATTTAATTGAGAGGATAATAGATGCTCTAACCCCCACTTTCCCGTTCCTCTGTGCACGTATCAGATCCCTCTCTCTAATGCATCTGTCCTCTCTCTGATTTAACTCAAACAAGCAGGTTTAAAATTTGAATTGGAAAAGAATCCATGCTTGACTCCCTTTCTGAAGCTTAAGTAAAAAGTTTTATCAACGCCAAGAGTTTGTGAAGGTTAAGTACCTCTGAATGTGCAGACCCGTAAAGACACTGGCCTTAAAGACACTGAAATGAAGAAATATTCTCAAAGGGAGCCAGGTGTTTAAAAAAATAAAACACACACACACAAATTGGTCTTATCTCTACCTCTTCCTTCTTACTTTGTACAAATTATTTGCTTTACCTGTAAATACCGTATCTGTGTCTGTGATACAGTTTTACCTATCTTAGCTAGGTTTGAGATAAAGTATCACAAATTTTTGTTTGTGCATCAATGTCCATCTGCATGTAGTGTTTTGAGGCTTTTAGGAGAAAAGATTAATATATATTATGAAAGTATAGAGGAACAAAATAAAGTGGTGGCTTGGAAGGAGCCTTGTCAGTCATTGCAATCGTCCTGTAAGAGAAACATTTAATAAACTTTCCTTGATTCAGTTTTTTAAAAAAGCATAACGAAATTCTATTCCTATTGAATTTAGAGAAGAATTATATATTTTTAATTATTGTTATTATTTTTTAGGGCAGAACTTATGGAATTACAGAACAGGATCCTGGTATTTAAAAAACAAAACGTGCTAATAACCACTGACGGTCAGCAACGTTGCAAGCGATGCACCCAAACCCTTGGCCTTTCCCTTGGCAGAAGTCCTGTTAAAATTGAAGATTTTAGTCTATTTATTGTCGGAATTACAGAGATAGTGAGGGTTGAGTATTAGCCAAAAGCTGAGTATCTACCGGATTCCTATTCGGTTCTTATTCAAACACTGTAAGACCCACATAGGCTATTGGAAGTCCTCTCCAGGGTGGTATTTATGCTGTCTGGATCAGACTAGGTGGTGTGCTAAAGGCTGGATGTGGTGCTTAGGGACATGGTTTAGTGGGTGACATTGATAGTAGGGTGATGGGCAGACCAGATGATCTTGGAGGGCTTTTCCAACCTAAATAATTCTGTGATTCTGTGATCTGGAACATGCCAAGTCAGCGATGTACCCAGAGGAGCAATGTGAGTGTCTCACAGGCGTAATTCAGAGAGCATGAACTGGATGTGTAAGTGTGGGTCAGTTCTGCCCCAAGTAAGTATTGAGGAAGGAGCAGTGTGGTGCAGTTCGAAAATTTCAAAATATCAGCAGGATCCAGGATTAAATATGGCTTCAAAAACATGGAGAACAGTTATTTTTGGTGAGGTCATCTTGTGCATTTTAAAAAGACATCGAATGTGCAAACACAGAAGCAGTTTTAGATACTCAAAAAGTTGCTGATATAAGCTCTCAGAGATGAATTTCCCCATTCCACGTGGTACGTATATGGGCTATACACAGGGACTGGGATTTGTGTGTGCTGGGTTTCAGGGTGGTTTCTGAGTACAGAACAGCCCCTGCAAAGCAAGTTGTGGTGGAAAGCCTTTTGCAGGCTGCTCGGCCATCCTGATGTGGCTGACAACCTGGTCATAAACACCTTTTTTAAAAAAACATGCCACTGATTCATGCAAAATTCAGTTTTGGGGTGTGTTTAGGATTTACTTTGTTGGGAAACTGGCTACAAAATAATTTGATGATTCTTATTAATATTCTTCATCTCCTTTGCTGTGGCAAATGTGGGCTGTTCGTGTCTGAGAGGTTTTGTCCTGGGCTTGGAAGTGAAAATATGTTTTCTTTTGTGAGGTTTCCCATACACAAATACAGCGCATATTATTTTCTAGACCGTATATATACTGTATGTATTATTTATTTCCTATTACTGTAAAACAAAAAAAAAAATCCTAAACCTGAAGGGAAGCATGTCAGAGGGGTACTGCGGGTCCACCAGGAGCTGGCAATGGCCAGGAGGTGCAGGCTGCCCCTCGCTGCGGGCTCGTGCCTTTGTTCCCACATCGGGACTGGTCCCACAGGGCATGGGCTGGGATACACACAGGCACAGGGCTGAGCTCAGGGTGCTGTTTCTTCTGTGAGTCTGAATTTCCTGGGTTTTGTGGATTTAACGTATTTGAACACAATTTTCTGTGATTTAATATAGAATTATTTCAGATCAGAAACTGGTAGGGAAATAGCTGACACTCTTTTTGCTGCTGCTCCCCCCTCCTCTTTAAAGGAAAGAGCTTTATCTTAATTAAAGTTTAATTAAGGATCACGTTTGGCAGTACTTTTCACACCGATCTACACCAGCAGATTTTCTAAGGCTTAACTTTATCGTGCAGAAAATCCTCTTTTATTACTCCCAACCTGTTGTAAAAGCTGTTGGCACAGAGCGATGGCTGCTTCATTCAGTGGCCTTGTTTGCCGCTGGAAAATTCCCAAGTCTCCAGAGATAGCACCACTGTGGTTCAATTTAATATCTGTCCTATCACTACAAGACTCTAGCTCATTATTAATGATACTATTCATTAATTTCTTGTTGGGCTGATGTTGTTATTTATTAAAATATTAAAGAAAGCTCCTGAGACACATACATAATGAGGGACACCTCCATTTCATGAGCTATACCAGCTGAGGGAATGAATATAGTGTAGATTTACCCACACCACCATACCATATCCCTCCCTCATTAGTCCTGCTACATCTCTGAGTGACACTGTAAATTCATTTTGTGCACTGTCCAATCGGAGCTTAATACAAATGTGGGGCTCTTTTTTTTTTTTTTTTTTTTTTTTTTTTTTTAATGAGCCATTCCTATGCAAAATGAATTGACTACTGTCTAACTCATCTAATCTGCCTGTATTTGGGGGAAGGACTAAATTGCCTATATTTATATAGGAAATAAATAAAAGTTGACATATTTTTCCCTTTTCAGTCTTGCATTTGGAAAATTTCAACATAATAAATTCTACATTTTAAGAACCTGCCACCTTAGTTAACTAAATCCCAGCATGACATTTAAACGTGTGATGGTTGTATTTAAAAAAGCCTCAACAAGCAGTTTGTGTACTGCGTTGGTCATTTGATGTGTCTTTCCTCCCGCACCCAGGTACAGCACACAGAAATTCCCAGTGCTCTTGATGTATTGCTCACCCTTTTAATCAGAGAGATTTCCGACCGTGTCTGCTTTGAGCACATGAGGCCAGTCGGAGGAAACTGCGTATGGCAAAATAAATCCAATAAACTTGTAATTAATTTAGCGATGATGTCACATTTTTATTTTGATTATTGGAAGAGGGGCTGGTATTAAGGGTCCTTTTTGGCTGAATGAAAATGATGAAATCTGCATAACAATTGAGGTAGCATCTGAAGGTAAAGTTTTAATTTGTTCTATATGGTTGTTATTTCCACCCCGTGCAAATAATTACTGTGGTGAAGAAATACCTCACTGTTATAAGAGGATTAACTGGGCATAATTGCAGCCTGTTTCGCTCCCTCCTTTAATAACGGGCCCTCTCAATCCACGCCCAGGGCAGCAGCTTTGTGCGCACCGCAGCGCCCAGACGCACCTCGAGGGCTTGGTGCTGCTGGCACAGGCAGGGTGAGCTCCGCACCACGGGCAGGACGGGTGGCACGGCGTCCCAGGGGCTGGAGACAGCCCATGTAGCTGTGCCTGGCACGGGGACTTACAGCCACCCCGTCAGGGAGTGCTGAAGGCTGCATGGCAGCCAGCATTTCTGGAGAAAGTAATCTGCTGGATGGTCTTCCTTGTCTTCTTGTCATGACATACGAGGTTCCTGATGTGACCAATGTATTGCTGTAGCAATACGTGTGCAAATTTAGAAACTCAGCTTGTTAAAACAGGCCTTTATTGTATGTTTCTTGCTAATAGTCTGGCCAGCCAGCATGAACTCACTCCTTAACTTTGATTTCTCTCCTCTTCCACCCCCCAGAGGCTGTATTTACCAACACTCTGTGCAGCAGAGCTGTCCTCACAGGTGAGGCTTCAGACCCTGGGCACTGGCAGCCACAGGGGTCGGGGCACAGACCTCTTCAGGAGGGTTTCCAGTGGCCGTGCCATCTTTAATGCACTTTGGTAGTCCCATGCCACGGTCTCTGGCACAGCTCACTGGGGAGGA